CCCCTCGACGATAAAAAATATTTCTTATAATTATATTTTCAAAAATCTCGTTTCAAAAATCTCACAGAGTCTCCGATACTAATAGACAATTTTTTAGAAATTAAAGAAAAAAAAGAAATTTTTTTTATCTTATTATAAGATTATCAAGATTAATTGTTTCATTGCATAAAACATAAAAAAACTAATGCAACAAACGTAGTCATCGCTTATCTTACATTCAGTCAATTCGAAATCACAAAATTCCAATTGTCATCACTATTCGTCATCTATTCGTCCATGTAAACCTTCTTTTTTTCTCTCTCTCTCTCTTTCTCTCTCTTTTAATCGGAATCCCTGAAGGACAATGGACGTCACATACGTCGCGCAAGCCAGCGAGGGTGAAATGTTAAATCGCCGTTCAATCGAGTTAAGCCCCCAGTAATATCGCCACTGCGGGTCACGGGGGATTGCGCGGGGGATGCGCCTTAATCGGATGGTCCATCGGAAACGAGAATTATAGCAGCGCGATGAACGACGAATATATCGCGAGACAATGGCGCACTCCTCGCGACGCATTGGCGGATTGCATGTACACGCACACCGGCCAAAGTATGGCCGATCGTTGAAATCTCCGACGTTCTTCGACGTCGCTCGATCTGAATCCGAAGCGGCTGACTATGGCCTGTTCTTAATCCGCGAACTAAAGTAATACAGAATCTTTTATAAAAGTAATATGTATACATCTACGACACATCGATACAAAATCTTTTACTCGGGACAACTGAAAATGATTTATAAATAAAGTACAATATAAAACGCATATCTTTATATCTTATAAAAGTGTAATATTTTTTATTGAAATAATATTGCAACAAATGTAATAGTTAAAAATTAAAATTATAAATAAGAAACATGTATCGCGTGTTTTCTTATATTTGCTGTAAAAACGCACTACTTACTTAAGCTCCGTTGTAAGTAATAAAAAAAAAAATGTCAGTATGTTTAAACCTTTAAACTGTTCTAAGTGCAAGTTCAGACATTTGATAAAAGGTTGCGAGAGTGTCGCAAGCAAATAGTCAGCATTCGAACGTGCAGCTTAATATCGTAACGTTCGTTGAAATCTCTCGTGCGATTTCCTTATTTCGCCGCCGGGCGTCCCAGTTGTCTATTTGCAGCGACGCGTCAGCTTCGTAAAGTGGCACGGGTTCCTCAATGGCCTTTGCGAAACAATCGAAGCCAAGCCGGCGAACATCTCAGCGTAACAAAGACGACGAAAGTGGTGCGAGTCTACCTCTGAGGGAACGCAGCTTACGGCCATCGAATCTAATGGGAGTTTCTCATCGCGTCAAACTCCGCTAGCGACTTATCGGTATCGAATTGTCAGATCACGACTGCTGCTTTGATATAAAGGCGGAGCCGGGAGTAAAATAACCAAAAATCAATAAAACAGTAAAAACAATTTGTAGCATGATGGAGAAAAATGATTGCAACTCAAAATACTCACAATATTTTTATTTATATATGTATGTAGATACATTTTAGGATTTACATTTATATAATTTTATAAAATTGAAGTGAAATTAAACTATGATAATAAATCAAACAAATAATAATAAAAAAAACCAACCAGAGCTAAACTACGATTACTACTGCGTATTAATGTTTATTATTACAATGCTGCGTAGGTATTTCAATTGCAGATATTTCAATTATATTTTTGATCCTTTTCAGCACAAATTATGGAGCAGAAAGAAATGTTTAGAAAGAAAAAACACGATTAAAGGTACATGAAATTTTAAGAAAAAAGGAAAATTGAAAACATATAATTTAATATTAAATTTAAATTGTATAAAAGCGCTGTTCGCATAAAGTGCAAAAGTAAATCATTAATAGTTATAAGCAGTCAAATCGTAAGTATACAGAAAACAAAACACGTGGAGAGTGTATCGATCGTTATTTAAATGTCATAGATGTCACAAATATTATGGAAATATTGTATATATAATTTTACTAATAAAAGATGTAATATAAAAAATAAATTTAACAAGGGAAAAAGAGAGAAATTTAAAATATTCTTTGATCAAATAAACAAATCATATTACTCGTTATCATAGTACATTATCATAATATATGTTCCATAAATAGTTATTAAATTATTTGTAATGATTAAAAAGCAGTTATTAAGATTAATTGTATTGATTTTGTTATTATGAATTTAACTTGGAACTGTGCACTTGGAATCGTGCACCATCGATTGCAAAATTAATTTTTACGTAAATACGGCGACTGCACAAATGTAGCAAAGATAAGATAAACAGACTTCGGGAAAAGCAAAAATGTACGGATGAAAACGAGAGAGGAACGAATACACAAAATTCGCACGTAAAATCAAATATTTATTGCGGGCGCAAAAGGCGCGCTCGCACTTAAGCGCGGGAAATATAACGGCGGAGGTGGTAATGTGGAAACTCAGAGAGAGACACACACACACATGTAGAAAAAGACGTGAAAAAGGGTGAACTGAGGGTTGGACATATACCCGCCTTCCTAGAATCCTCGTTATCCGGTCGAGCGGCAGTGGTCGTAACCGGCGGTGGCCACGAAATATCCGAAGAAAAACACGTTTCCAAGTCCGAATCGATAGCAACAATGCCGTGGCGAAGAGAGTGCGAGAGAGGCTTGGCTCTTCTGTGGAAGCGGGGCTTTAGGATACGATGGAGGGTTGCTTGAGGGTGCGCAAAAGAGAAAGAGATGGAGAGAAACAGAGAGAGAGAGAGAGAGAGAGAGAGAGAAGGAAAGGGAGACGCAGTCGAAGGAGGGAGGGGAGCACGTGAGAGAAGCAGAGGGTGAAAAGCAGAGCAGGGTGGCAGAGGGAGAGCAGGAGGTGGAAACGAAGTGGAGGCGGCAGCCTTATTGGAACTGAGGGTAGGGGGTTGAGTTTTCCTGAGGGCTGAGGGCTGAGAGGGAAAGACAGAAACAACGAACGAGAGAGAGAGAGAAAGAGAAAAAGCGCGAGG